TATGCGTTTTGCTCTTGAACCTTCTGTTCCATGCATGACTCAGTCTCCCTTTTGGTTGTAAGGTCCTATAATTCCTGCCTCAACATGCTGCTTTGTTTGCCATCCTAACAGGGAGGGTAAACTGGTTCAGTTTCATTTCAGCAAGTCCAAGCCTGTTTTTCAAAGGGTACTGGTAATTAATTCCCTAACATTTTTAGTTGGTCAACTTAAAGAAAGCTGAGGTTTTTCATTTGAAATATCATTCTTGCTCTCCAAACACCACTAATTATGACTAGAAGAAATCCTGCCATCATCTCCCGTGTCTCTGTGTTGATGTTTATTCCCTGACTCTTAACACTTACATGAGAATCTCAAGGTCAGAAGATGTTGAATAAAGGAAGCATTGACTCTAGAGTTAGAAGCCAGTATGGGGGTGTCTTGCTCAAGTCGTTAGTTAGAGCTCGGTTACTCTCCATTATCCACGAACATCCGGTGAGAAGGGCTGTATTTCTCAGCACACCGCTAGGATTACAGGTCTTGAGGAACGGTCACCATAAAAGTATTCAGAAGTATGGTGAAAGGATCAGGGTTGTGGGAATAGAAGCCAGAAAATAGAATCTAGAAAAAATAGTGGCCATTTTAAGACTTTTTTTTAAGGTTTTATTTATTTGAGAGGGAGAGATAGCGAGAGATAGAAGCATGAGCAGGGGAGAGAGGAGAAGCAGACTCCCTGCTTAGCAGGGAGCCCGACGCGGGGCTCGATCCCAGGACCCTGGGATCATGACCTGAGCTGAAGGCAGAGACGCCCAACCAACTGAGCCACCCAGGTGCCCCAGTAGTGGCCATTTTAAATAAATGAATGAAATGGGAAATAAATGCCAGAAGGACTGAGGTGGAAAACAGAAAATAGTTGTAGCTTTTTAAGTTTGGTGTTGTTGTTGTTTTTAATCCATTTCTTTGGGCCTAATCAAGGACACATTAAACATTTGACTGAGGCTCTGGACACCAGAGCAGTTGCCGACAGGACTGGGAGCAGAGCTGAGCTGACTCGAGATGCCAGCCTACCCCTCTTTCACCCTGGCTAACACAGTTCTCTGTAGTTGCATTCTGGTTTTGGCACTTTTTCTCCTGTGTCACAAGGGAGGTGAAGGATGGAGTTACCATTTCTCTTCCGGATTAAACCAAGGGTAGAAGAAGGGTAGAGTTTAAAACATGTAAGGCATTAGAGTAGCAAAAGAATCTTAAGCCTGCATTGTTGCCCCACATTTAACTGTTTCTTACTGTTGTAGTTCCTTATGATAACATGCCACATGGTGGCTTCTCTTGGGTAACATATCTTCTTCCTTTGTGACAGTGGGAGCATGAGTGATCTGTACTCGCCAGCCCAACTGCCTCCTCAATAGTATTGATTTGGAAATAGACTGAGGGAGGGAATGGTTGTATTGAAGCATGTTAAATTCACAAATGGCAGAATTTCAGTAAAACCAGAAGACTTTATCATTTTCATTAATTTTGGATGGAGAGAGACTGGAGAAAGTTTCTAGAATATCCTGTTGAGTCAAATCTTGGGGTCTGAATCAAGGTTCTTAATGATGTTTCAGACCTTATAATAGGTGGGGAAATCCAGATGTAGGCACTAAGGAGATAGCTCTCCTTTCACCTTTTCTGTGGAACCACTGTTAGCAGTTCTCTCCCCTGGTGTTTAACCATTACGAGGAGAAAGCTCTTCTAACATTGAATCTTAGGCGGTAGGCTGTGGTCCCTGAGTTTTTCTGAGCCAGAGAGTGGGCCACGGAAGAATGAGCATATTCGAGAGTTCTTCCTTTTCCAGGTACTATTTGTAGCTCAGCTTCATGTTCAGTTACCAGAACCTGTTCTGAAGACTGACACAGAGGAATGAAGGTGGGCATCAACTGGTTTCTCGGTGACAGTTTTGGACAAAGCAGGCCTTTTGAAAAAAAAAAAAGGTCAGGTGAATATTGGGCTATTCAAAGCCCATCTCAGTGCTTGCCTGAGGACCAAGTCCTGCTTCCTCCCCCCTTTCTACATGCCTTAACCCTTTCCTCTATCCTCTCCGTTCTCCTCCCACAGGAGGAAACCCTGAGCAGCCTGTCCAACTAGCTAATTGATGACTGAAAGAGACTTAGTTGCCGGAATGGGCTTTGTAAACAAAATCTGCTTTTAGAAGAGAATGAGAAAACCAGGGTACCTAAGTTAGCTCAGCTCATAGAGTTAAAGTTGTCAGCCTTAGGTGAATATGCTTGCTTTTTTTATTTGGGGGTTCTGGCTTTCTTGTATTTATGTCAGGGACTTCAACCAAGTGTTGAACTGACTTAATCCTCCAAACATTATAAGGTAGGTACAGATGCGGCAACGAAACAGGTTGGTAACTCGCCCAAGAGTGATGGAGCCAAGATTCAAACGTACGCAGTTTTTTTCCACAGCCACTCTTTAGGGATCATACAGCTTATAATTATTCTCACATGCAGTAGTTAATATTTGCCTTGAGTTACAGAAAGATCCGAAGCAGAATCAAGAGACAATGGAGAGAGCTTCAAGCAGAGCTAGGATAGTTCTCAGTGGACCTCAGTGTTGTGGCTGTTTGCAGCATATTAACATCTTTCTCATCGGGGGCCAACCTACCTTTTCTTTTCTAGTGCTGAGGAATGTAAACAAGTTTGCTGGGCCTTGCGAGACTTCACCAGGTTGTTCCGATAGCTCACACTCCTGAACTGTGCCTGTCACCCAGGTGAGTGGTTATAGTTCCTGGCTTTTCCCCTCACTGTCAGGAGTGCTCGGGATGGCATAGGTTTTTGTTTTGTTTTGTTTTAAAGATTTTATTTATTTATTTGAGAGAGAGAATGAGATCGAGCATGAGAGGGGGGAGGGTCAGAGGGAGAAGCAGACTCCCCGCCGAGCAGGGAGCCCGATGCGGGACTCGATCCCGGCACTCCAGGATCATGACCTGAGCTGAAGGCAGTCGCTTAACCAACTGAGCCACCCAGGCGCCCAGGATGGCATAGGTTTAATGCCCATCATGGGACTTGTACTATAGCTAGTTAGGGAAGGACTTAACAGTCCTTAACACTGCTGAACAGTTAAGAAAGGACCCTGGTTTGCTTGGGCCCAGGCAGCCAGGTAATTGCCAGCTGCTTTTGGATACTATCTTCACCCCCATAGGAAAGTTATTATTGTAGGAGATCTCAAAAAAAAATTCCTCCTCTCATCCCCTTACAGACACTTTAGGATGGTAAGAGTGTATGTTAACAAATAAATATTTTTAACCTGGCTACTTTGGTGAAAACAGTACTGACCTAAAGCTGACTGTGATTACATTGACACCATTCTCCTAAAACCAACCTTTTGGATTTAATGAGCAAAGATGCTTATTCTTAACACTTTTACGGTCTGAACACTGAAATGCCAGGTTCTGCCCAGGGTAAGAGGTAGAGGAAAGGAGATAGCATCTTTGTCTAGCTCCTGATCACCAGTTTTTCTCCATGTGCTTCCTGACTCCTGGTTCTGCAGCAAAACAAGAATCTTAGCTAAGGACAGAAAGAACTGGGTAGTAGGATTTGGGTGTCAATTTCTTGACTGAGAGAAGAAAGGCAGTTCTCCTCTTAAGCACCCGCACCCCCCTTTGAGGTCTTAGGCAGTATTTATTGTCCCACGAGACAGTTCTCAATGAATGTGCAGCACGTCTCTGGTGGTTTCTGTCATTTTTTTTTTTTTTTAATTTATTTTTTGACAGAGAGAGACATAGCGAGAGAGGGAACACAAGCAGGGGGAGTGGGAGAGGGAGAAGCAGGCTTCCTGCGGAGCAGGGAGCCCGATGTGGGACTCGATCCCGGGACCCCGGGATCATGACCTGAGCCGAAGGCAGACGCTTAAGGACTGAGCCACCCAGGCGCCCCGGTTTCTGTCATTTAGTGTAGTAGTAGATGAAGGCACTCGGCAGCAGTGCCCCTCACCCACACCAGAAACTATTTCTAAATGTTATTCTTTAGCGAGTAGTGATATCATTTGGGATTCTCAAGTTCTGCGGTGTCGGTAATAGCCAACATTGGTACACATAGGCTTATCTGGGGACAGCTGTGGATGCTCGTGGCTGACATTTATGGAGCCCTTACTGTGGGTCAGGTACTGTTCCAAGTGCTTTGTGTGTATTCACTCAGATAATCCCAAGGTGGTTCTCTAGGTTAGTCACCGTTATTATTTCCATTGGACAGGGGAATAGAGGTTCCAAGATGTTAAACGATTTGCTTGATGTCACAGTCAGGAATTGATAGATACGCTGGTGCCAGAGCCTTTACTTCTAACCACTCTGCTTCCTACATTCACACAGTACCCTTTTCATACAGACTAAATCAGTGGTTTTTAAACTTCTGTTAGTAGGCAAAGTCTTCCTTCAGAATAAACTCTTGCATGAAACCCCAGTATTTAAATGGACTAAAGTAGAGATTTTCTGGTTGGTTTGAGGTGGGCAGCCTGGACCTGCTGGCTCACTCTTTACCCCCCGACAAAGCATCCCTAGCTTCCACAGCACACTCAGAAAAGGACTGCAGGCAGTATCCATTACAGCAGTCGCTCTCTTGAAATCACAAGTAAAGACTCCAACTTCTTTTTTTTTTTGCTGAGTTCTTATGGCAGAGGCCAGAATGAGGTACCTGAGCAAATACGAAAACTTCTACCTTGACTTTAGAAGAAGCTTATTATCTCCTGAACCATTATTGACGGTCTTCTCTCTCCTGTCAGGAATGTCTTTTTTAATTAGAAGACAGGAAGAAAACAAAAACCAGACTGTGTCCCACAATCAGAAACCTCCATTGTGGCAGAGGGGCCTTCACCGCCACCACGGCGTCCCGCCAGACAGGGAGAGACTCCAGCCTTCAGAGGCCGTCCTGAGGAGTTCCTGTTTGGGGGTGTGAGGGAAAATCAGCGCGGTTTAAAAAAAAGATGGCTGCGGCCTGTCCGGCGTGGTGGGAGGGGAGCTGGTTTCCTGGTGAACTTGTTTCAAAGGAAAAATAATTTTAAAGAAATAAAAAAGGAAAAAAAGGAAAACTAAACTGAAACCAGAACTGAAACGTTCACTTGGTAGCAGTGACACGCACGCACACATGTACCTATACACACATGCTAACATGCGTGTGCACACAGAATAAAAGTACAAACTTTTGTGAAACAAACCATTTACTTAGGGAAAATGGGAATTCAGATGACATCGCTGCAATTGGAAGAAAAGGGTCAGGATCATCTCTTAAGGTTTTCTATTATTTTTTCCTCTTTCTCTCTCCCACCCTCCCTTTCCCTTTCCCTTCCTCTTTTAAAGAAAATGAGTAGAAATTTCTCCCACTCTCCCCAGCGTTTCTTCCCACCTCTAGAGTTGTTCCGACAAGGAGGAGCCTGTTGGTTTTATATCATGGTCACATCAGTGATACCAGGACCTGCCAGGGCCAAAATTCATGTATATTCCCAGCCCTGACCCTATCCAGTCTCTAAATCCATTTCCAATCCATATTGGGTTGTCATCGGCCTTGGAGAGAATAGCCAAAATTAGGGTGAGTGGGATATAAATGTATATTCTAAGTTTTAGGGTTTTTTTTTTTTTAATTTTTGTGTTTTTTAGTTAATTTTTCACCCACAGACATGAGAGAGGACAAAAAAAAAAAGGGTGGGAGTATGGGGGAAAGTGTTTACAGGGCTAACTGTATTTTACTAAAAAAAATGTGGAAATTACTTGACTTTCGTTGGGGGGTGAGGCGGGAGAGGGAAGCCCAAAACAGATCTTAATGTTTTAAAGGAGTTGCGGCCCCGCACAGGTGTTAGATACGAGGGCACTGTTCTGTCTGGTGTTGTAGCCATCTCAAGAACAAATCAACAGCAACAAAAAAAAACAAAAAAAAAAAAAAAAGAAAAAGAAAGAAAAGAAAACAATAAATTTTTAAAATTTAATCAGTGTTTGTTTTTCCTTCCTTCCACTGCCTCAGAGCTCTGAAATGATACAGCTAGACCGCGTGAGGGAGCGGACTTAGCCCTTACCTGGGAGACAGCTGGAGATGGAGTTTAAATGGTGGGCCCTGCCCTTCATGCCACGGACCCTTCATATTTTGGGGGAGTGGCTCCTTCTGCATCTTTTATTTTAGTTCACCCTAAAACTCCTCATGCTGCACTTTATCCTTTCACACAGCCTCGGTGGGAGAGAGAATGGGTCCGTCAGCATGTTGAACAGAAATGTGGTTCGGATATTCTTTCCACAACAGCCACCCAAGTGGACTGATTCCTAGCCCACTGAGTAGTGTTTGGTCTTTGAAAACAACATGCCGTACCACTGACAGAATAAGCTGCCCATACTTCAGTTGTACAGTTGACCAGCTCTGACGTAGGTACACCCATGAAGCCATTAACACGGTCGAGGTGGTGAACGTACCCCTGACTCCCAAAGCTACCTCCTGCCTCTTACCGTCCTCCGGTAGCCACTGATCTGCTTTCTGTCACTGTACATTAGTTTGCATTTTCTTTAGTTTTATATAAATAGGATCACATAGTATGTTAAAGTATTGGTTTTTGAGCTAAGAAGCTTGACTGCGGAGCTCTATATAGTATTTGGAATCCATGAAACAAACCTTCCTGCATAACATCAGTTGTACTCAGAGTTTGACTTGGACAGGATTTTAGACTGCATACATTTAAAGATCCACGCCCTTCCCTCAGCTAGCTTCCTCCTAGAAAGCAAAGCCAGCCAGTTGAGAGCTCATGGAGCCCCACTGACTCATCAGCCTGGAAAGGCAGGCCCTCCTCCTGTTGTGGCCTCAGAGATGAAGGGCAGATGCTAGGGGGAAGAGGGTCAGCTGATACCAGAAATAGGGTCTGATAGAACAGCATGGAAGCAACTGGTACTGGAAAAAGTAAATAGCTGAATCTGTTTTTAATATTTATTAATTGAAAAAGACATAAAATTCCACTTCTACCCCATATTCTTAGACTCTCAAGAAGGAGGTAGCTGCCGGCCTTAAGGATCTGGTATGATACCTAAGTGCCCATCTCAGGGAGAGAGATGTAAGGAAGTGAGGCTCAAAAACTAGGGAACCCCAAAATCAGATCAGGCCCATGCCCTGCTGAGGGAGCATGGCCCACAGCACTTGGCTCTTTTTGCCTGAGGAATTGGGGGCAACCACGAGAGTGGGCCACACTGGGACAATTCCCTCTCAACTAGGCCCCCAGGCTTTGTGGAGTTAACTTCTCTGCTCACTGGGGCTAATGGCTGAGTTCCTCCAGAGTGAGCAGAGGAGAGGCATACACAGCAAGACCGTCCTCAAAGCAAAACGCTTCCAGCTTCCCTCGGGTGCTACAGGAGAAAGCCTGGAACTTGGACCTCTCTTCCCCTCTCCTTGGTGCAGAGCCACTTCCAGGAGACCCAGCTAGAGGGCCCTGCAGCCAGTCAGGTGCCCACTGGGGCCATCATACCTTCACGTGAGCCCACACAGCCACCCGGGAAGCCTGTGTCAGTTGCTGTCTGCAGTCTCACTGTTGCATGCCAGCCGGGTGCATGGGCCAGGCCCCCTGGCCAGTACTGAGGCCTGCCACAGGAGGGGCCTGGGCCACAGGCTGCAGCTGCTGCTGGGACTGCCAGATGTGATGGAGCTCCTTGAACTGCTCCACCATGCGGTCTTTAAGGTCTGGGTTTGAGATCTGTAGCCGGATACTATCAGCTGACCAAGAAAGCTCCCCTGAGAACATCTCCAGCAACAGCCGAGCTGCTACAGGCACCACCTGGGGGAGCAAAGAGGGACGGAGAACCGTGGCAGGACTGTCCAATCCAGTTGTGCCCGAGGCATCCACCAGGAAGAAGGGGCACTAATTTCTACTTCATACAAAGGCTACTTATGTGTGGGCAAGCCTGGGCCTTGATTATCTCTGGTTGCCAAGTCCACCCTGCTCAGAGAGCCCTCAGCCTCCACCCTGGGGCAAGTGCTGAGCCCCAGGGTTCCCCCATTACTCAAGCCAAAGCAGAGCAGGGGTTTGAGAGGTGAGCTGGTGGTATACCTGTACGGTGATGAGCTTCTTCTCTCGGGGTTTGCGGTCAGGCCACTCCTCCCCAAAGCAGAAGAAGATCTCAAATGGCGGTGGGGTGTTAATCTGGCCCTTCTGGAACAGGATGAGCTCTGCAGCAAGATCAAGACCCTTAGAGGCTAGAACCATGACCCTGGACGAGAGAGAGCCAGGAGGAACCTGAGGCGGGTCCCTCACCATTGAGAAAATGCTCCAGGCTGAAGAGCTTGGTTTTGACCTCCCGCTGGATGGGGTTGGGGTGTGAGCCGTGAGCTGAGGCGCAGGGCCCGCTCCAGAACACCTTGCACTGGCACAGGCGGATGGCATACAGATCTTGGCCTTGCAGCTGGAGTATGAGCCCGCGGTCGAGGACATCCAGCAGCTGGTTTGTGTAGAAGCGCTGCTTGTCGCTGGGGATGTCCTCAGGGCTGGGGAAGCGCACTTGCTCCAGGCTCACAGGGCCGAAGAGCTCTACCTGCTCCTGGGTGGCCTCCAGCTGACTGTAGAAGAGCCGGCAGCCCTGTGGGTTGCTGATGGTGAGGGCCTGGGGTGGCCGCCCCCGGTACTGGAACTTGATCTCCAGGTCAGTCACTATGGGGCAGAGGGCAGGCCCGGCCAGTCTGTGAGCCCCACGCCGCCTTGTTCTGCAGCCCACTGACTTGCTCTGTCCCGTCTGCCCAGCAGCCAGGCCATCTCGTTGGCTCTCCCACTTCCTTCCCCCCTCCAACCCCCGCCCCGCCCCGCCTCAGGGAGGGCCTGGCTTGAGCATCTTTGCTCTTCATCCTCCACCCTTCTTGCAAACCAACCCCCCAGCCCTACTTTACCCGGCCCAGCCCTCCTGTGGGTCCTTACGAGGCAGCATGTGGGGGCTGATCAGCAGGTCGGGCAGGAGTTGTTCGCCCGTTGGGGGCAGGCTGGCAGCCAGGGGCCCAGGCTGCAGTCTCGGCAGGACCTCCGGGAGAAGCTCCCCAAAGCCAGCAGGGTTGCCGGGGGTGGGGCCCAGGAGGTTGGGGTCTGGTGCAGGAGGGCCCAGCACCACAGGCGGCTGGAGAGTGGGCGGCCACTTGACATCCTCTTTGGGTAAAGAATAGGGTGCCATGGGGGGGCCAGGTTGCACTGCTTCTACAGAGGGTGGGGGCAGGCAGAGCTTTAATGCTACTTCTGGGAACTTCCCCCCCCCCCCCAGGCCCACCTACTCTCAGCCCTGGGCCTCCCCCCAGCCTCCCTTCAGCCCCCTCCCAGGTACCTAGGGGACCTGCAGCTTCTCCTTATACTAGGCCCCCAGCCACGCCCCCTCCCAGCCCCACCTGTGATGCTCAGGCTTGGTAACATCCTCTGGAGCTGAAGGGAAGACCCAGGCAAAGGAGGAGGGAATAGGCCAGAGAGAGAGAAGGGAGGACAGGTTAATGAACTGATCTGATGCTAAAGAAATAACCCATGACAGGCAATTCCCCGGTGTTCAGCTCGGCAAGGCCAGACCCTGCCTTCGCTCCCAGCTCTGCCCTCCAGGCAGCTCCGTGAACTCTGAGCGCCTTGGTGTCCTCATCTGCCTTCTACAGGAAGTAGTACCTACCCAGCCCCAGCTCCTGTGAGGGTGTGTCACACAATGTGTGGGCATGTTTTGTACCAACAAAGCCCTAAGGAGGTTCAGGGTGGTGACTGCGTTCCTAGCCTCAGAACCTCAAGAAGAAACTCAAGAGAAGAGCTATAAAAAGGGCAGCAGGGCCCTGGAGGAAAGGGACCGCTTAATCCTAAAGCAGAGCAGCCCCGCAGAAAGGCCCTAACAAGACCCACCACGTCAGTGCAGGCAGGTGCTGCCAAGAATGGTCCCGAGCTCACGTTTTCCTCTTCCTCCTCCTCCTCCTCTCCTGCACCAAAAGTGTAGTCCTCACTGGGCTGCGACTCTGCAGAGCAGGGAGAGAGAACAAAGCAAGGGAGTCAGTGGGGCAGGAGAAGGAAGGCCACCAGGACTCCGTGGGGCAGCTCCCGCTGTGGCTTCTTCCCCGCCCAGAGCTGCCCCAGCAGTGAAGTGAAAGGCCACACAGCCACCAGGAATCACTAGGGACCTCCCCGACCCCATGGCACTAAGCTCCTTGGGTCACTAGACCTACACTCCCTGGAGCCAAGAGCCAAGAACAGGGACAAACTGAGGAAGACAGACACGGAGCCTGGTCTGTGCCAAGCCATTCCGGGCCCCACACAGGGTCCATCGCAGGCCACTCCTGGGAACCTGGGGTGTTATGACTTTGAAGCATGTCCCTGACCACTGCACGCTGGAGGGGCCCTGGGCCTTCCTGAACAGCCTCCTAGGTAGCCGCCAGCTGGTCAGGCACGGTACCTGCGGGAGCGGCGCCATTAGAGCAGACCTCGTAGATCTTGTAGGGCTGAGGGGGCATGTCCCGGGGTCCGTCATAGATGAGGCGGAAGTCACGGCTCTTGTTCAGGGCACAGCGCAGGTTGGCCTTCCACTTAGCCGGGTCCGCCTCGTCTACCCCCTCCGTGTACTTTCCTGTCTCCTTGGCCCAGGCCTGAGGCAGGAAGAAAAGATAGGACACCACAGAGAATCTCCACCCTCAGCAAAGCCCCAGCCCCTCCTGGCCCATGGGAGTCACTGCTGAGCGGTGAGAACTTCAGGGACATGCGGAGCCTCACCTGAGTGTCCCTCTGCACGGTGGGAGAGAGGACTCCAGTCCTTCCCAGCCCTCAGGGCTCCAACAAACGAAAGGAAACCTAAGTGCTTTGAAAGGCATTTCATTCACTGCTCCTGCGAGGGTCAATATAGGTACAGTCTCTGAGGAGGACCGTGTCACACGGTGAATAAAGAGCATGGGATCTGGAGTGGGATTGGGTTTGAATCTGGAAATGGCCACCCACCAGCTGGGTGCCAGGGGCATGTCACTCTGCCTCTTTTTGCTGTAATATCCCCATCGTAGTGCCCTCCTCACAGGGTGGTAGTGAAGACTCCAGGGCCCACAGAGCTTCCAGAACTGTGCCTGCACTTCGGATGGGCTCCATACACTTTAGCTGTTGGTATTATTTTTGAGGGTAAGTTGGCTGATAGCAGGATTACAAATATTTCTTCCCTTTAACCTAGCAATTCGACTTCTAGGAATTTATCCTAGGGAGACAGAAGCATCCACACACAATTCTGCACCTACAAGGTTATTCACTGCAGCACTATCTGTAAAAGCAGAAGATCCCAAATAAATGTCCATCAACGGGAACTGGTTAAATTAATGACCAATCCTTAGAATGGAATACTGGACAGCAAGAAAAAAAAAAAAAAGAAGAAGTTTTTGATATCCTGACGTGTTACAATTTTCAAGAAATATGAGGTACAGAAGGGTATGTCTACATCTATCATTTTGTGAAAAGCGGGCGCGGGGGGAAGACAGGTACCTATTTGCGCCTATGCACAAAAATCAGGAAGGATAAACAAGAAACTGACGATAATAATTGCTCTGGGGAGGGGAGGGGTGGCTGGAGACAGAGTGCGGAGGGAGATTCTTGCTGCAAACCATTTTACACTTTTTAAATTTTGAATTTCATTACCTATTCAAAAATAAGAAACAGATTTGAAAAGAACCTTCAAAGGGTAAATATCAACCCACAAAGACTATGGAAAGCATATCCAAATCTTTATTAAAAAAAAATAAGGATTCTGTTTGACCCAGCAATGTTGAACTCCAAGAACTAACCCCAAAGAAAATCACTTGAGATACACAAAGGGTAAGAGTTTAGAGGGGGTACATGGTAACGGGTCTTCAATACTGGAACACTAGAAGCAACGTGAAGTGTCCAAAAGCCGGGTTTGGATAACTAAATTACGAACCCCTCCAGTGGTCACTGAAAGGGACGTGACATTTTTGGCAGAGGAAAGCTGGTTCTGATGTTGGGTGGAAAATGCAGGATGCAAAACAATATACGGTTGATTTCATACAGAAAGCTGAATATATCGTTACCTCCTCGTGTTCCCATCACAGGGGCATTCTGTGGTCTCCTTTTGGAGTATGTGCACACCAAACACGCACACTGCACACGCACTCACAGGTGATGAGAATGTGACAAGAAAAGGGAGGAGGAGGGTCTCCAGGGGGGTCTTTCAGTCTCCACCTTACTCTGGGCAAGAGGTTAAAAAAGGCACAGTGAGGGGCACCTGGGTGGCTCAGTCGTTAAGTGTCTGCCTTCAGCTCAGGTCATGATCCCCGGGTCCTGGGATCGAGCCCCGCATCGGGCTCTCTGCTCTTCGGGAAGCCTGCTTCTCCCTCTCCCGCTCCCCCTGCTTGTGTTCCCTCTCTCACTGTGTCTCTCTCTGTCCAATAAATAAATAAAATCTTTAAAAAAAAAAAAAAAAAGGCACAGTAAGGGGTATGCCCTGCATCCCCTTGGTCCAAGCCTGGGGTCACCTGCAGCCAGGTGGCTGGGAGAGTGGTCAGTTTGAGATGTATGGGGATCCTCTTCTAGGGCAGGGGTGCCCCAGAAGTCCAGGCAGTTACCCCTGTCCGGAGCTTACCTTGAAGATGGTATTGTCTCTGTCCTGGCTGGGGCCGTGCCGCGTGGCATGGCGCCAGGGGATGCAGAAGAATTTCCTTTCCCCATTGACCCACTGCAGCCCTGGGTACTGGCAGCTGTTCACCTGGGCCACCAGCCAGGGCTTTAATCGCACGCGGCGGGGCGGAGGGGGTGCCCTGGGGGCAGGCTGGTTCATGGCCAAGGGGTCTGTGGGAGAAAGAGGGTGTCATCAGAAGATTTGCAGATAGACACTCCCTGCAGCAGGAAGATGGGGGTGGGAGGGACGCAGGGGCCCAAGCCAGGGATATTATGGCTTTCTTTTCCTCCCAGTACTGGGGGCTGGAGTGTCTCTGGTCTGCCCAGATGCTCACAGCCAATTCCCTTTTCCAACCATCAGCCTTCTTGTCTCAGGGTCACTGCATCTGTGCTTTGTGTTTGGGGGTGAGGGGGAGAAGGAGGGGGTTTATAGATAGAGTGGATGCTGTGCGTGCCCCACCCAGACGTGTTGTACCAGGTGGGACATTGACTCCCCAGCTGCTGTGAGGCTGGAACAGCACAAAGATACCGAGCGGCTCACTGCTGCCTCACTCCAGGGTTAGGCAGCCCACAGCCGGGCCATGACTGACATGCACACACAAAACGCCAGGCGCCTTGCTTCAGGTGGAGCAAGCTGGTGGAACGCGTGCTCCAGAGCTCCCTGTGGGGTCAGGCTGGAGGCTGTCTCCAGCCCGTACCACCTCTTTGCTCAGCTTTCTTCCTGCCCAGCCCGCTTCCCTCCCACCCCTTCTGCCCTCCCTCTCCTTGTCCCAGGGACTCCCTCACTATATCACCTTCTAGGAGACCTGGCTGAAGAGCAAGTCACAGCGTGTGAATGAAGAGAGGGTTCCCATACCCGTTCCTCAGAGCTTCCTTCCCTCCTCAGCTTCCCTCAGGGATGAAGCTTCCCCACAACCTGGACATCTTGAGAGAAATCCCATTAGCCCACTCAGTCTACCTCCTGCATCACCAGGACAGTGGCCTTAAGTGGGACTTGAGAAATACCAGCCAACTGATATACCCAAGATGCTAGAAGATTCTGTCCTCCAGCTATTTCTCCCCCACCAGCCTGCTCTCTCCAGGATCCTCCTCTGACTCAGAGTGGGGTGAGACCAGAGGTCAGAGGAAGGCCGCTGGGGCTGTGACACAGGCAAGGGTCCATGGTGGGACAGGCCTGTCAGGTAAGGAGGAATGGCTGAAGGAAATGGGGCATCTGGGTTGGTGGATAGGGACAAGAGCTATCCTTTTTTTTTTTTTTTTTTTAAGATTTTATTTATTTATTTGAGAGAGAGAGAATGAGACACAGAGAGCACGAAAGGGAAGAGGGCAGAGGGAGAAGCAGACGCCCTGCTGAGCAGGGAGCCCGATGCGGGACTCGATCCCGGGACTCCAGGATCATGACCTGAGCCGAAGGCAGTCGCTTAACCAACTGAGCCACCCAGGCGCCCCGACAAGAGCTATCCTTAACATTTGTGGTACCACCGTGTGACAACAGGACTAGGGTTTGAGTCAGCCTCCACAAAGGCAGACTAGACCCAGGTTGAAAAAATTTCTAACAGCTAAAGCCGTGCAACTAATAGGCTAGGCCTGGGAGCAACTGGTTTCTGGGGGTACTCAAGCCTGCCTTAGGTGGGAGACTGGAACAACATGATCTCTCAGGTGTCGACCCTATCATTCCAGGCTTGCTTAGAGCTCAGTTTCCCCAGAAATTCCCTGCCCAGTACTTTTTTGGGCTGGAGGTGCTAAGTGCCGCCTCCATGCTGCTAAGAAGTCCCCATCTGCAGGCCTATCCTCAGAGCAGTGCCCAGCTCTGGGCTAGGACAAGGGAGAGTGGGAGAGCCCCCAGCCCTGTCCCCAGGCCTCATAAGACTGGTGGCTCAGTTCCCCTTTCTGAACCAACCTCCACCCAGCCCCAGGGGAAATGAAAGTGGCCAGACAACTCGGAAATCTGACTCACTGTGAACTTGGGGGAGGGAAGATACACGGAAACATTGACATTTGGGCCCCTACGACCAAATTCTCAATCCCCTACCCTGTAGCTCATTCCGCAATCCCCAAGCCTTGCTGCTGGTCATTATACATTTATTGTGGTTCACAGCATGGGGTAGAGCCTCACCCACCACAGTGGTATTTACAGTTTGCACCTGCACCCTCTGCCCAGAGCCCTTGGTCCTAGAACAGACCGGTGATAGTCATCAGTAGCTGTCAGTTGTGGCTAAGTGAAGGTGGTCAGAGGAAAGCTCTGTCAACCCAGAGCAGAGGCAAGCTACCCTGACGCCCACCCTTCCACGTGGTCAGGCCCACAGCCGAGCAGAGGGTGGTGGAGCTGGGACACCAGGGAGGGCCTCCTTCTCTGCCCAGGGCAAGGAGGAAGTCAGCATGAGTCCTGCCGCCTAGCCTGGCCCAGCAGTCCTGTTCAAGACAAAGAATTTTAAATTACTCATGTCAGTAAGGTACGATCGCTTGGGGCGGTCTAAGGAGCGGGGTATGGAGAGGAGACTCTCATAACAAGTCTGGCCACGGCCAGAGGAGGGTGTCCAGCGGGCCAGAGAAAGGTCTTCAGCCTCAGGTGCACCAGGACCAGGCTCAGTGTGTTTCCCAAGGAGGTTTCCTCCTGCCTAGAGGTGGACTTAGATCTCATTTCAGACTATCCTAATGCCAAGAGTTCTGAATTTCAGTGGGTTTGTGCCCCATCCCTACTTTGCCTCCAGGTAGAAACAGTCACCTATAGTCCCAGGGGACCTCAGAAGCTATAGCACCACCTTGGAAAGCCCATCCCCCATTCCACGCACCTTGCTGTGAGGACTTGATTTTTCAATAGAGGGCAGGCCTGACCAGGTCTGCCTTCTCAGGGGTCTGGAGACTTGGGGTGAGATTTGAGCCCAGGAGAGTGGGGAAAGCCAGAAAAACCATCAGTTTCCATGCTGAGGACCTGAGGAAGCCCTCATGGGTGAATTTTATAAAAGTGAAGCATCTAGAGGGGCAGCTCAGAAACTCTTGCTGAGGTGGGAAAGCCCCACAGTTCACCTCCAGGCCCTACAGTTCCAGGAGCCAACCACCTGAGGAGCCTGGAACACTGTGGGGACCAGGGACCCCTACGGGAGGAAGCTCTGCAGCTCCTTGCCACCTGTGGAGTTTGTCGGATTCACACCGTCTACCACAAACCCCACACTAAGCTCAGGAAGAAGGCAAAGGGTTCCCTGCACCTGGTATGACCCTAATCCCACACCTTTCAAGTGAGTTGACCACATCCTGAGACAAGCTGGGGCTCTCAGGCAGCAGATGCTTCTCTCGGCTTCATTCAGGGGAAGGCCGAGGTGCAGGGGGAAACCCCAAAGTAAGGCCTTTAGGTAAAAAAGAGTTTCCCAGTGCTTCCCTAGACTTGACAGGAGTCTTAGCGCCCCGACCAGATCGTGCAAGGGAGGGCGGGGACCCTACCTCTGGCCCCTGCTGCCCCTCTAGCCTCCTCCATCGGGCCCGCCTGCGTCCCGGCTGGTGCGGGTCACTCATCCTCGCTCTGGGCTCGGGGGGAGCTCGGGCCAGTCCTGCGGAGCCACCTCCAGGGCGCGGGCGCGGGCTCTGCCTCTCCGAGCGCTCCCCCACTGACGGCGCCCCCTGTCTCTTCCCCACCCTTTGTGCCCCTCCCCCGACCGCCCAGAGACCCCTGCGCTTTGGGCGCCGTGGGGCGGGGGGGAAGCACCTTCTACCCGCGTCGCGGCCACAGCCTTCTCACTTTCCCTCTACTTTGAGACTCTTACTTGTTTTGTTTCTAAGTTCGAGGCAAGGACGTAAAGAAACGAGTGCAAGAATTGCTCCCGGGGGTTCTTCTCTGCTAGGGGGGCAGCTCCTCTTGTTGTCGGTCGCGAGTCACAAGACGGCGCCCCTACCCGACACCATCTGCCCACACACTCTGCCCGAATTCCTGCCGTTGGCCTTAAGGTCCTGGGAAGACGATCCCTTTAAGCCTCATTCTCTTAACCGACAGGCTGAGGGGTGCCGGGGGCCGAGGGATGCGGAGCGCGCAGAAAGGCGGAAGACCCTCTAAGACCCAAGCCAGCCCGCCGTCGGGCGCCCGGGCGCTCCCCATCCTTGCGGTGGCTTTGGCGAGACGAAGGGAGAGAAGAGCGGAGCTGGCGCCCCTGGCATTGGTGGCCACTCGGCGCCACTCGGCCGCCCGGGCCTCCGGGCGCCCGCGGGACGGAGGCTGCCGGTGCCGGGCATCCCGCGCTGATCCGGACGTAGGAGAGGCCGCCAGACCGAGGGGCGCGCCCAGCGGGAGGTGCACTCCCCACCCCCACCCCACCGCTGGAGCTCCACTGCCTGGCGGAGCCGGCCGCGACCCCTTCCGCGCTCCCGCCCTGCCCCAGGCCCCCGCCGCCGCCGGCAGGTGCCGGGAGGGCGCGGAGAGGAGCGCGGGCGGCCGGGACCTACCTGTCTACGGTGCGCCCGCGTGGCTGCGCCCGGGAGCACGGGCCGGGCGGCGGGGCTGAGCTGCGCTCTCCCGGAGCTGCGCCTCCCGCCCGCCTGGCACTTCCGCATCGCCCGCCCCCGCCCCTGGGCCGCGGCTGCAGAGCCTGGGAGCGCCCGCAGCGCCCCGCCCTGCCCCTCGGGACCACCCCGCCCCCCCACCCCCCACCCCGCCCTGACCCGGCGACCGAGGGCCCCCGAGCAGTGGGCCCGGCCGGGCCCCCCTGCAGCCCAAGGCCTCCGGGGAGACGTCGGGCAGACTACTGGGCTCCTTCGGCACCCTGGAACGGCAGAGGAGTCATTTGACAACCCCAGACCCCTTCCCCACGATGCCGAAGTGCTCGCCGGAGCCCGGGAACTTCCCCAGCCCGCGCCCTTCGGGAGCTCAGGATCCGGGCAGAAACAGGCGTCAACAGAGTGCATACGAGGGCGCCGTGGGGCCGACTGACAGCTCGTGGGTCCTCGCTCCGCCCGCCCGGGCTCCTTCGGAGGGTCGCTCCAGGGCCAAGCCGCTGGCATCCGGATCCGGACAGCCCCTCCTCGACGTGCTTGCAGGCAGGGTTCCTCAGACCACTCTGTCCCTTTCTAAGTCCCAACCTTCGCACCTGCCTGCCTACCCCAGCTCTCCCTTTCCTGGTCGCCGGCAGGACTTCTCAGGGTCAGTGCGTAGTCTCTTGCCCGGCGTGTCACACTTACCGCTGCTTTGACCATCCACCTACTGTTCTGATCGTTCTTCGGTTCCATAAATGGGTCTCACCGGACTCAACCTTCATATGTCCTGTTCCTTCTCCTGAAGCATTCTTTGCTTGATGATGACTGCTCTCCGAATTTTGTTCCAGCATCATCTCCTCTGGAAGCCTACCTTGACTTCCTCTCCTTGGTCGGGTTACTGAGCTCCCAAACTCATCCTGGTTGGCTTTACTTAGGAAATTTTTATTTTAATGTCTGATCCCCACTGGAATCAGCTTACTCAGGGACTATTTTTGTCTTTTCATTGTTTTCTACAGTAATTTTTTTTTAAGATTTTATTTATTTATTTGACAGAGCGAGCACAAGTAGGCAGAGCGGTTGGCAGAGGGAGAGGGAGAAGCAGGCTTCCTGGCAGAGCAGGGGGCCTGATGCGGGGTTCCATCCCAGGACCCTGGGATCATGACCTGAGCTGAAGGCAGACGCTTAACCGACTGAGCCTCCCAGGCGCCCCTAATTTTTAATAAAAATATTTTTAAATGAAGAAAATTTTCAAGTTAATTGATTAAATTTTAGATAGCAACTAAAATATATACGTTTTTGATAGTATTATTTGCCCTTTAAAGTTTAGAGCTCCTGTGTTTTTTTCCAAATCCAGCATTAGGGTTCACCTGGGTGGCTCAGTTGTTAAGCGTCTGCCTTTTGGCTCAGGTCATGATCCCAAGGCCCTGGGATCGAGCCCCACATAGGGCTCCCTGCTCAGCGGGAAGCCTGCTTCTCTCTCCCACTCCCCCTGCTTATGTTCCCTCTTTCGCTGTGTCTCTCTCTGTCAAATAAATTTAAAAAAATCTTTAAAAACAAATCCAGCATTAGCTGATGAATCAGAACCTTGACCTTTCCCTCCTCTCCTTTTCCCTCTGGGAATGTTTGTGTTTTTCTTCACTACTAATCTGTATCATTACTTATTATGTGCTGTCTTTTTTCTTATTTTCTGCATCTCTCTCTCTCTGCCCCAACCCCCAGCCCTAATGTAAAATGGAAATATAGTTATGTACAAGTATTTTATTATTTGTATCTGCTGAGTATTTCACTATTTCATATTTTTAAAAATTTAAAGTGTGGATGGGGAAAGTGTGGATCGGTACATTGTTTTATATTTTTCTTCTGTAAAAATGAAACTGCCATTAAATAGAAAGTGGCCACCACAAAATGGGAACGCTTTTCCACCGGAGATCAGTTACACTCAATAGAAAAAATATTCTACGTTGGTCCAGAAAATATATCTGGAGAAATAGCCACCAAGAGATTTCTTTTATTGTCAGATGTCCCACACATAGTCCGAGGGACCATGAGACTCTAGGATGCTACCTCTTGCCCACTGTCCCTCTTGCTCAGGTGAGGTCCCTGCTCTTAGCGACTCTGTAAAGAATACCATGCTGGGGCTGTGTGTAGAGGAAGCTCGCCACACTTGAGCTGGCATCCATCCCTGGTGCTAAGTGACCTTAGGCCGGTCCTATGAATCTCATTCTCTGTCTGTAAAGGCGAGAGGATGTTACCGAGCTCACAGTATTGGCGTGAGGCTCCAGTGATAGGGACTAGCTCTGCTCCCCTGGGGTCCTGCCTTGCCCAGACCAGGGGAACTTGGACCAAGAACCACTCTGGGCCAGGGACACGGCATAGGAAGGAAGGGGCAGGGGCAGAGAGCATCCTTCAGGCTCTTCCAAAACAGAAGGGTCCCCTTGCCTCCCGATGTTGTCTATGGTGAAGCAAAAGAGAAGTGAGGCTACACCCAACCCCCGTGCAATCACTCCTGATCCCCCACCCCCACGCCCCCAGCAGGGAGCAGGGAGACTTGGACTCCACAGTCCCAGATATGTGTCCAGGCCCCTAACTCCCAACGATGAGCTAGCCCCTGTCCCCACTTCCCCTGACCGGGGTGGCAGATTGAGGGTGTGGTGAGAGGCCCGATTTCCGGTAGAGGCCAGGGTGCATGAGTGTGTGGGTGGGGGGAGCCGTGTCACCAAAGGGAACTGAAAGAAGCCTAGTGTGAGTGGTAGGGACAGAGGACAGAGGTGGGTCAAGAACCACACACACACACACACACCCCAGCCCAGCCAGCTCTGGACCTGCCCCTTTCAGTGCAGACCTGTGCGAAAGACAACTACCTTTACCTCCCCTCCGGTCGACCCACCCTCTCAGCCTCAGCCCTTGGGATTCCCCAGGCTCACCTGTCTCCCATGTACCCCCTATTTCTGGGAACTTGTTGCCTAGACATCAGGTCCTGGAGTCTGATAGGCCTGAGTCAGTCCCTGGCTCTACCACGGAGCCATTGTGTGACCTTGCGCAAACCACAGACTCCCTTGGAACCCCCTTTCGCACCTGTAAAATGAGGATAACATCACTGTCACAGGTTGGCTGCGAGGCCTAAATTCAACAAGTGCCCAGTGAGCACGTTCTACATGCCAGCATGAAACAGTGAACAAAAGTCTCTTTTGTTTAAACTCCCTGCCCTCCTGGAGCTTCCATTCTATGGAGGTAGACAGTAAATGCTTAAATCACAAAATGAGGGGTCTTTGTGGGTCATGGTTTAGGCTGAGCAGAGACACATGACCTGACCTGGGTTATAACTCGGCTATTCTCGGCTCCTGTAAACATGCAAGTGGTAGCTTTATTATGAGCGATGCCCAGGAGGCCACCCTGGGGCTTCTTCCCCTTTTCTTGCCAACTGCCACCCCTTCAGAGCTTTCCAGTCCCCCACTTGGCCAGCACTGTCACATGCACGCCTCTAGACCTCACGTCTCCACGTCCCCCTGCCAGATCCGCAGCTCCCTTTACCTCTTCACTTGGCCTGAGGCCTGAGGGCTGTGCCGTGGCCTGCATCCATCCCAGGCCCTGGCTCCCTGCTCCCTTGGCCTTTTTAAGCACAGAGGCTACTTCCCTTTTCCTTCGTGGTCAGCACCTTTCCTCACCCTGACCCCCGGCAACCTGGCTTCTACCCCTTTTCCATGGATTCTGCTC